CATTAGGATTCATCCACTTGTGACCATGAATGTCTGTTCAAAATTTCATGGCAATACAACCAATAGCTGTGGAGATATTTCAGTTGGGCCACATTGCGGACCAACCGATAGCGATCCCTAGAGCCGTGTCACTAATGTGGCTAGAATGAGCCAGTGACCACATCACAACATGAATACCACCAACATAAACTTACCTTTCACACCATGAAACGCTACATAAATATACTAATCTCAAGGGGAGATGACAAGAATTGTATAAAAGTAAACCAATGATGGTCACTGTTCTGGTTGTAAATCAAAGAATGGAGACAAGATGGCAAAAGGCGTCCTGGGCCTACACTTTTGTTTGTGTCTTTAAGTAGAGTTTTTGTGGTTTTTGTAGTCTTTTGGCTTGAAAGTGACCTGTGCGGTGTGCTAGTTCCCTGCAGACTTGCTTTCCCTCTGGTAAGATTGAAGACAAATCCAATCAGCTCTATCAGCGAGTCTGGCACTGCGCCTCTGTCAATAAAAATGTTCATATACCAGAACTCAGCAAGCAGTGATGATGCCATCTAGCCAGAAGTGAATTGTTTAGAGGAACTGACCTTGCAGAGAAGATAAAGTAAAATAGGCCAAAGGGAGGAGTTCTGGAGTTAGGGAGTCATCTGTGGTCTAATGTTGATAAAAGGAGACAGTCAGTGGGAGAGCAGTTGCTTTATATCTCTTGCTCAATTCTTGAATTTGCTGTGAGTGAATAACACATGACAGGTTATGCTTGCTTTGCTTGCTAGTGAACAGGGCATTGCAGTACAAGACATCCAGTCTGTGGCGGTGAATTTTAGGCAATGATACTGGTAAACTTCCTCTGAGACTGTCACTGTCAGCCATGTATCCTTGGGGTTAGAGGTGGTATGTAGATTTTTGTCGATGGCAGGCAACCAGGGATTTTTCCATTACTGCTCTCCTAACATACACACAGCACTGTAGGCATCACATAGCCCCTTCCCCACACAGTGAACAAACAAATTTCTATAAAGAAAGTCTGTTCCCTTCCACAGAGGTGCCTCTGTATGCTTCCTGATTAGCATAATTCAGAGAGAGAGAGGCCCAAGGCCTGATCAAGACTGATTGCACTGTTAGTCTATATGCTTTTATTAGTTTGATTATTTCACGCGTAGTTTTTCCCTTGTTTTACAAAAAACTAAACAATTTTTTATGCTGCAGGAGACTTAACTCAAGCAAGTATTTTGAACTCAGTGTGTATTGTGCTTGTTTTTTTTTTTTAACAGATTACAGCTACTTCTTCAAAGGCAACCACTATTTCAAACTGGAAGACAGCAGCTTGAAGATTGTCAAGTTGGGCGAAATCACAAAGGACTGGCTCGGTTGTTGAGCATTTCCAAAATGTCTCGCAACTTGCTAATTCCTGTAATGATGTCTGGCCTCATGAGGACATTGCTATAGTATTGTACACAACTTGAGGTCGCCGCAGTGCACACTGTTGTAAGTTTTTATCCTGGCAACTATGCACGCTTCTGTGGGAGACATGTCCCTTCCAGCCTGTATAACAAGCCTCCAGCTTTGCAGAAAGGCACCATGGGACCTTCTACACAGGCTGAACATAGGCAACTGGATATTTGCTATATTACTGTGTGATATTGACATTGTATTTGTTATGCTGATGCAGATTTATTACAATATGTACCCCCTGTTTTATTGTTTTATAGTTTTTTGGTTTGTTTTTTTTAAACTCAGACATCAGGTATGTCCACACTGCATTGAACGCAGTGCTATACTGTGCTGTGAGATATTGCCGTTTTATGCAAATTTGATTCTGAAAGGCTGTTTTACACCATATGAGGAATTCGTGTTGGCTTAGAATCACTTCTATGTCCAGTGTACTAGGTGCAGTTTTATAAATGTATCAGTTTTAATTAATTAATTTTGTCATTGTTGAGCAATACATTTGAAAAAATGAATTTGCACAATGTGTCTGACCGAAAATGGTGCTTTAGAGATTGCTTCTTGCATATAGTCCTAAATATACATATATATATACACAACTTATATTCAGTGTAACTATGTCTGATGGGACTACTTAGTATTCTCTGAATGTCAGTAGTAGTATTCGCAGGCACACATTATTCTTCATTTGGTTAGCACTTTTTATAGGACTATACAAGGGAACTACACAATATGGAGACCAAATTATTGCCATGGCAACTCCATGTTGCATTTCCCTTCACTAATGGTACAGAAAGATTAAAGGCACAGGTTGCCTCTAGAGGCTGTATAGGTTTGCTGCATGATGGAATCATGACAAGAGTACCGCAGTAGTATTGTTTAATAATCTTTTTTATATTCTCTTTTCTTTCTTGGGTTTTAGCAATACAGTCATTGTGTTTTGTGTTGTTTTTAATGCTTGTGCACTTTGTTACTGTCATCAATAAAGATGAAAGATGGTCAATATAATGTGGATCAGTATTAAACAGAGGAGGAGCTCCATATAGTTTGCAGCCTTATGGGTTGACACAGTTACGAGCGTTCACAATCAAGCTTGTGAGGCAACCAAATAACTGTGGTGGAAAAATGTTTCAGATCATTTTCTTTCAGCAAAAGTAGCAATACCATAATGTAAAAGTATTTTTTTTACAAGTAAACATCCTGCATTGAAGTAATAAGTGTGTATTATCAGCACAACATACTTACATACAACATACAAAAGTAAAAGTACTTGTCATGTAGATAGAATGGCCCCTGTAAGTTATATAGGATAATTCAATCTATAACAACACATGACATTTTATAACAGATCATATCTTTTGTATGGAAAATCTGAATTTGCAAAGTAACTACTAGTAGTAAAATATATGTATAATGTAATGGAGTTAAAAATACAATATTTCATCCTAAAATGTAGAATGAGAATGAAATGGCATTAAAATTATTTCAAAACTGTACTTGAGTACATGCTCTTTCCATCCAGCTAAGTTAGTTAGTTAGTTAGTTAGTTAGTTAGTTAGTTAGTATTTTATTAAGTCATCACACATAATACAATAAGTATAAACAAATCATCAGTCTATGTATTAGGTAGTGACTGAACAGGCTCAGGCAGAAGCAAAATGCAACATTCTTGTCAATTTAAAGGTTGCGTATACGATCATCACTGCCACTAGATGTGGCAATAGATCAGCAGCATCTCAGACCAAAGCACATGCTCCGTGATATGTTCCACAGCAATGCTGGCAGTAAGCTAACTAGCAATAGCAACATTTTCCAAACACATTCATAATATCTGTAGCAAGTTAGCTAACATTTTAAAGCCTTCAATAGCCGGTCACTAGGGAAAACAGACATGTAACATTATGTAGTCATCAGGTTACATACACGTGGAAGAGAAGAAAAGCCAGTCCTGAGACAAGCTGGAGCCATTTAGCAGCTTGTAAGGCTCTTCATCTCAGTAAAGCCAGACCAGTATTGGCTCCACAGCCGGACTGGGAAAGAAATGAAGCCTTGGACTTATCCACTGGGATCAGCCCTACGAATGACACTGATGGAGCCGGTGAAAACTTTTAAAACTTTTTGGATGATTTGACAGCTCCCTTTCAACAGCAAAAGTTCTTTTCATTTTTTCCCAAGGTAAAATAAATTTGTATTGTCTGCAAAATTAACAAATCCTAACAAATGACTATCATTACAAATACCATAAAGTATTAAAGTTTTAAGAACCAACCACCAATCCCTGGGGTACTCCACAGGTGACCTTTGCTAAATGATTACATAGATCAGAGGTCTTACAATAGAGTCAAAGACTTCCTTAATAATTACCATATCAATGAAATAATATCAGTTGAACTTTTGTTTTTAAATTGTTTTACTGTTTCATTTATATCTGTTTCATTTACCCCACAAAGGACCATATAACTGATATTGCCCTAAAAAATCAAAATCAGCAACAATGCTCTTTGAATTGTTCACTTTAGCATCAGAGCTATTCAAAACATAATTTGGAAATTCAGATTCATAACATCTATTCTGAATAATATGACTAATTACTTTCCAAGTCCACTGAATGTTATTTTTATCTTTGAATATTTTGTTGTTATATTCTTTCTTATATAATGGAAATCATTTTGTTCTTATGCAACTTGTATTTTTCTTCACTTTCACTGGATCTCAGGATCTAAAAATGTCTTATAAAGTAACTTGTTTTTCTTTTTGCACACCCCTTGAAGACCTGTAGTAATCCAGGGCTTTCCTTTATATGTATCTTTTATGCAGCACTTTTTAATAGGACAATGTTTGTCAAACAAAAATGCTTGGTAGGCCTGATTAAAATCGACAACATATGCTTCTTCCCACTCATAATTTGTAAAGTTCATCTTTAAGGCCTCAATTTGTTTCTGGTGTCCTTCTCTTACTAATTTACAGGAAGGACCACAAAAGATCACAAAAGTAGGAAGATGATCACAAATATCACTTTAAAGGAAACCACTTTTTGCTTGATCATGAATACTGATGTTGTCAAAACAGAGTGGCACTTTCTCTAATATTTCTTATGGTGAAGAGCCAGTGGTTTCATTTGGAGGGTATGACCAAATGAGATTTTTCTTTTATAAAACAGCGCCATCTTTTGGACATTTATGAGAGCTTGTAAACAAACACGTTAATGCATCACAATATTCTCTTGATATCCATCATTGGATAATTGTGCATCATTCCAAGTATTTTAGGACCTATGTATGTTATGCACGGTTTTATACAGTCTCTCTGTGTTTCCTGTGTGTGGTCAGTGACACCATTTCGCCTCCTCCTTTCATTTGTTACATTTATTAGTATATATTTTTATATACACTTATTGCAGATAAGTCTAACGGAATGACAGCATCCTTCAAACATTCGTAAGGAGGCCTCACAGATTGTGGAAATTTGTCGTCGGGGCTAAAACAACACACCGATCGGACTCGACCCCGGGTTTAACCACGTTGTAGGTGGAGCTTCAAACGCCAGAGTCCGGTTCCGCTCTCGACGCCTGTGTGTGTGTATGTGTGTGTCTGAGCTCGCCAGTGTGATCGTCTGATTAAGGTAGAAAATGAAATGAGAGAGAAGAGCCCCCGTTGAGGAAGTGAGATGATAACATAACGGCGCCTAGACTACAACATTTGCCTGTGTCTTCGCTCCCTGGACTGCAATGCCTCCACAACGAGTGTTCACCCTGCCGCGGCAGCAATCTCTGCTCCTGCCTGCGGTCATCAACCCGTTTGTACAGGACACAAAACTAACCAAAGCTACTATAATTAAAGTGAGTATGGTATTTAAGCGTAATGCTCGTGTAAATGCAAGCGTTTGAAGAATGTAGCCATCGCTTATAGAAATACGGCAGTGGGCACACCGCGGTGTTTCATCTGATGTGCGAGATTACACCCACAGGCTGCTGTGTAGCCAGGGCCTATAATCTTCTCCAACGGGGCTTTGACAATCGGCTTGTAATGCCTCGTTATATGCAGCGCAAACAATGAGAGCCGTTGTGTGCTTTCTAGAAAGCTGTCCAGTGCTGTGGATTTCCACACAGCTGCATATTTCTGTTCTGTGGAATGTCAAAAGCCAGGGTGTAGTTGACTCTGACAGCAGTCTTCCCTTCATGGTATAGGCCTACTCTAATTAATGGTGTATCTATGTACATCTCTCCATGCAGTGTGTCCTCCTGGGAATCTTCCTGGTCCCTGTTCGCGCCATCCTGTTGTCTCTGGTTCTCATGGTGACATGGCCAGTGTCTGTCATAATAACCTTCAAGCATCCTCTGAAAGGAGCTGTGGAGCCAATGAAAGGCTGGAGAAGGTAACAAGGATACGAACATCATCCCATTGCACCACCACCTCCCACAGAGTCCCAGACTGCCATCAAAGGCCATGGCCTTTTGGATATCAGACACACATAATTGCTTAGAAAAATCAAATCATTTAAACACATAGCACAAAGTGTATCTCGCTGTGCCTTCTTGCCATCAGTTTGGTTTACGTACACATTACATTGAATTTTTTTTTTTTTACTTGGTTTCTCAAATACATTGAATTTGGCTTAAAATTGGAAAATTACCCAGGCTAGGACATCAGTTTTGTTTTACCTACTTCAACCAGTTATAACATGTGACCATCATTTTGTCACTGTATTTTAAACTTCACCCATAAAGAAGGCGTTTGCCACTGAACCTGTTTTGTTTTTTTATTGCATGTAGGCCTAAATCATCCCATTCAGTGCAATTAAACATTAGCTATTGTTGAAGAAATAGATTAAGATTTAGTTAAAACATATCGAGTTTCACTATATTAAACTAGACAGTAAAGCACAACAAAGGCAGCATATTCTCAAAATAATGGTTCCTGACACAACTTGAAGAATGTGCAGCTGCTTGCACTTCTGCCAAATCATGCTTCTCTAGATCGTATCTGTACCATAAGCATTACTTCATCTCAGCTCCGCTCAGTTCCTGTGAGGGGCCTTAAGGGGAACTGAAAACTAAAAAAGTGATTCATCCCTTTATATACCAACAAATCTTTCATCATTGAATGTCTATTTTTTATCAGTATTGGAATGGGCAATCCAGTGGGACATAATAGGCACTGTGACATAATAGGCACTGTATCGATTTAAAGTAGTTAACATGCCATACTTTATACATCAACATATTAAATGTAAAATTTCTTGTGGCTGGATTGCAGTATTTCACCTGTGAGTATCAAACAGAGTGCAGCATTTTTAACTGTTGAGTTGTGCAGATAGTAGGTGCAGCACACACGAACATAGTGCACAGTTCTGCAGCTGACAGGAAAATTCTTGTGACCTTAGACCTCACAGCTTTTTTATGTGAGTATGACCAAGCATGCTGTAGGTGACAGAAACAGGGGTAAGCTTATCTTCATATATGGTCATATAGTTCACCCATTTATTGCTTTCCTGTTAACGGCCTCAGAAGTTCTCACCGTGGTTAAAGCACTCTGGTTTAGGTTTTAATCTGATTAATAAATAGTAAAATTTCACAATAAGATTAGTGTTTGTTTGTTCTATTGAAATAGTTACTCAATTAAGTAATATTTGTGATGGTAAGAATGACTCAAATGACTCCAAATAAAGTCAAAGTGAAACTTGTATTGCAGATCCCACTAAAAATCAACTACCAAATTTGTAAATGATAAATAGTTTTTTGGTAGATGGGCATAAAGACCAGTACATTTTAGACTTGTTCTAGACATGTGGTGAAAAACTCCAAATGCAAGTCCATGTTGCTCTGAGCCTTCTGCATATTTAGGCAGGCAATATCTTGTTCACTATAATTTTGTAAGCTGACAGTATGACAAGATGTTGTTGAACTTCCTGTTATTAAGCTTCCTGCCACATTCAGCAAACAGATTGATATAGCTTTAAATATTCATTGGTTTGTTGGTTCACAGTGTGTCAAGCTACAGTATAGTGTGACTTCCTACCCTTACTCTAGATTATAAGGAAGTAACTGCTAGCGGGAAAATTCTTTGCAATTTTAGGGTTACAGAAAAGTACAAAATGGTGCAACCTTTCCTGTTACTCAAAACATTCATTCAGTCCATTTTTAAAAAAAACAAGCAAAAACACTGACATTTCGGCCCCTGGCACATAATAGTGCTGAAGTGATTACGATCAACAGAGAGGGCCTAAAGAGACACGCGGGAGATATATCTAAAATAAGTATTCAGCCAGAAGTATTCATTTGGATTTTATGCATTTCTAATTTAATAATACCTCATTCAATAATCTAAAATGTTGCGGTCATTCCCAGGTTCATGTGTCAGAGGATAATGGCTGCCTTGGGGAGAACTTACTATTTCTGCATGGGCTTCAGAGTGGTGGTCAAGGGCAAGCAGGTCAGCAGCAGTGAGGCCCCCATCCTGGCTGTTGCCCCCCACTCCACCTTTTTCGATGGGATTGTGTGCATTATTGCAGGCCTGCCCTCCACCGTCTCCCGTGTTGAGAACCTGGCTACACCCATCTTTGGCAGTGAGATGTTTTTTAGTTGCTTTGTTGCTTCAGTACAGGGTAGTTGGCACTTAAGTGTTTATATGTGCTTTCTTGTTCTCTCAAACTTGTGTGTGTGTGTGTGTGTGTGTGTGTGAGAAAATACAGAGGTGTGAAACTTGAAACCCCCACAGAGCTTTTTATTTAATAACACACAATGATGATATCATCAGTAAATGACTGTTTAACAAAATGGTCTTGCTCTGTTGAATGCTAACAAAACCATGCAATTAACCAAGACCTGTACGAGTAATAAGTGAAAAATATGACAAAAGCCAATGTATGGTTTCATTTTCTAAGTGTGTACAGTACATTCACATATAGTACGTGTTTTGCTCTCTCTGAAGGGTTTGTGCGCTGTCTCCAGCCAGTGCTCGTGTCCAGAAAGGACCCAGATTCACGGAAGAATACAATCCAAGAGATTGACAGCAGAGCCAAATCAGGAGGCCGCTGGCCTCAGGTCTGTTACAACATACCAAAGAAAAAATCCACATATACTGTCAGTGTTGTCTTCTGTATAGTTGCTAAGAAAACATTGAGCTTGTCAGCTAAGAAAACCAAAGAGCCATTACTCAGGATGTTGGTTTTGTCGGTCTTCACAGTTTCCTTTGTCAGTTTTTGAGTCCCACATTTCATGAAAATGCCTCTTCTTTAATACTATTAATACTTTACTGTGACTTTGATACTAATATGCATACAATATCAATCAGAGTTTTTCAGAAACTTGCTTTGCATACTGGTGGCTTTAGATTATCATTGCCTACTTGAGAAAAGTTATACAGCATGTGATTTTAAGATTTACTAATGATGTTTTATTCCTCAGGTTTTGATATTTCCAGAGGGAACATGTACAAATCGCTCATGTCTTATCACTTTCAAACAAGGTAAGACCTAAAATTCGAATGTAATGCAAATGTAGGTAGTATTATTTTGCAACAAAGCATACTCAAGACAAGGAAAATGATAACAGACAGATGAAGAAATCAAAAAAACAAACAAACAACCATTTACTAACAGATTCATCTGTTTCTCATAGCAAATTTAACTAATTTTCACTTCACATATCTGATCCACTGAGCAAAAGGGGCTACAAAATCGAAAGAACACTTGATACTGCACAGTTCCATTCATTCACCATGTGATGTGGTTTGTGCTTTGACTGGTTGTTAATGGAAGTCCACAAAACTGGTTTTGAGTGATGCGAGACAGCGGGGATATCGGTTTTGTAAAATCACACAGTTCTACACCTATTCAGCTTTCATTCATTTGAAATGAGAGATTACAGTCTTCATGTTTTTTCTCACCACCTCTAGGTGCCTTTATCCCAGCAGTCCCCGTGCAGCCTGTGCTGATAAGGTATCCCAACAAACTGGTGAGTGACTGTGATTGTCATACAACATTGATATATTTTGGTGCCCCACTGCACTCTAAAAGTTTGCACAAAAGATACATATATAGAGGCAGAGCCATATATGAATGAGGATATACACACTAAGCAACCATGAGTTTAATTCCCTCCGAGCAAAATGCACAGATTGTCTTTAAACCTAATCTGAGTAAATTTAAGTATTGTTATCCTCCTCTTATATTTGCTGTTTCAGTTGTTTGGTTCCACCGACAGACTTTTGAATGCAGTCATTCACAGAGACGGGCTAATGGCAACACTAGAAGCTTAACTGTATCACACACCCACCAGCTAACGTGTAACTGTTTCATCCCACTCTTAATGTGTTATGAAGCGTTATGTATTCCCCTCATTCTTTTTTTTCTCCAGGATACAGTGACTTGGACTTGGCAGGGTTTCAGCTCGTGAGTATGCTTTCTACTGTTGTGCATCCTGAGTGGTTTCTCATGTTTCACCTGTAGTATGTATGTTTGTATGTCGACACCTACTTTTTCTCAGACAGTACCCTATCGGAACACAGTAACATAATTGCCTTGTACTGGAACAACTGTTTGTACTAGTGAATCAATACATGTAACAGACCTTGCCTTGCTTGTATTATTTGCAGGAAGACACTGCTGCTTCTAACGCTGAGCCAGCTGTACACCACAGTAGAGATAGAGGTAACAGGCTTCCTGTTTTCTTAATAAAATGACTAAATTTGTTTATGCTTTCTTATTGATATGTCAGGAAATGGTTGTGTGCAACTTGATGTGCATTCCAGGGTTTTACACAGCACCTCGTTTGAAATCTTTTAAAATTACTGCAGCTTTACTGGTGGTATCGGTGCCACTCTCTGCTATCGCTGCTGAAATATTTGGATTTTATGAAACTGTATTCAAAGGTACTTTATCAACTGAGGGGGGAGGTGTGTTTTCTGCAGGAAGGGATTCTGTTTCCACAGAAAGGTTTAGGAGTTTGCTTTCTGCTTGACCTTTCCTGTGACCATTTTTTTTTTTTTTTTTTTAATCTGGTTGCTGTTTTTTTTTTCCAGTTCTTGCCGCCGCATATCCCCACAGAAGAGGAAAGGAAAAGCCCAGCTCTGTTTGCCAGCAGAGTGCGAGAAACTATGGCCAGGTTAGTAAAGTCACTGGCCTTAAGTGCACATTTCGTTGTAGAGCATGCAGTAGAACAAGGTGCAATGGAAATGCAAAAGCATATATGCTCATACAAGTGATAAATTCAATGTTAAACACATGTAAGTTGATGAGAAAATGCTCTTTACAGCCATTACAAGTATTTGACTTAAAGACTGCACATGCAAAATGTTTGCTTACAGAGCTTTGGGAGTTCCAGTAACAGACCACACATATGAAGACTGCCGCTTGATGATCTCAGCTGGTGAGCTAACTCTGCCCATGGAGGCCGGCCTGGTTGAGTTCACCAAAATTAGCCGCAAACTCCAGTAAGAATATCTCACTTAAATACACTGTTTGTGTCACCAGGCAGAGAAATTAAGACAGGCAAATATAGGTTGAAGTGTTTTTTTTTTTATTATATATATATATATATATTGTTCAGTATGACATACACCTTCTTCATTGTACCCTTCACCTAGACTGAAGTGGGACAACGTGAGAAAAGAGCTGGAGGGCTTTGCGGCCATGGCCAGCTCTTGTAGGGGAGGACGGATCACCATTGAGGAGTTTGCCGGATTCCTCAAGCTACCTGTCACCCCACCCCTCGAGGAGCTGTTTGCACTGTTTGACAGGGTGAGACACATGTGCTGTAAATAAAATCATTTCTTTCCTAATAGTTTGCTGAATAATACCAGTAGAAATGACCGATTAAATGCTGTTACTGTTTGTTGACACACAGCCAGGGTGTTGGAATACAGTAAGAAATTGGCCCTGACACAACACGCAGGAAACACACCATAAATACAATGGCTGACAACATAATATATGACAATCTTAATATTAGGCTCACAGAATTACATGTTTAAGAAATCACTGCATATCCTGTGTGTACAAATGAGAGTAAAAGTAAAATAGGGAAGGCATCATATTTTCTGTTCAGGATTTTCACTGCCTGAAGAGGAAACTATGATCAAAGCAGTTTGGCCTCATTCCCTGGTATGTCCGTTAGAGTTCTGAGTGGGAGGAGGATTAAAAGCATAAAAACAGCCTCTAACATGCAGTTCAATGAGTAAAAAAAGAAATCCCTTTTCTCAGAATATGTATGCCTCATAATCTTGCAGTTATTGAGGGTTGCCATTTATAGAAATCACTCATACTTTTGTCTATGTTTGTGTCCATCTATGTGTCCGTGTTTAACCATTTAAATTCACCATACTTCCTTTAATATTAAAAACTGTTGATATCAGACTATGTTTCTATGTTTGTAGACCACAAAGGGTAAAGTACTATCCATCATAATAGTCTGTGTATTCAGTTACTCAGGCATTTTTTTTTTTTTTTGCTGTGGCTTTCACCCCCATCAGAATAGAGATGGCACCATCGACTTCAGAGAGTACGTTATAGGCGTGACCATCCTGTGTCGGCCAGCGAACACTGAAGACGTTCTTCGAATGGCTTTCCAGGTAGGACAGAAATGTTCTGATACAGATCTTCTTCTACTGGGTAGAAAAATACAGTGCTGTATTTTAATGTACAATTATAGAGAGACACACAAGTGTATACGGTGGTATCCATTTTTCTTGAGCCAATGAAGCTCGTACCCCCTGAACTTCTTCGGGAGTCTTTTGCTTTTGAAAACAGCCTGAATTATCCAAGGCAGATTTTCAGCACTATCAGAAATGTTCCACAGTCATCATGCTGATTCCATTGACTCATGCATTTCCTGCTGATTCTTTTTTTAGTGCGTAATCTTTTTGAGACAGGATTTCATAACAATATTAATATTACAATAAAAATAAGTAGATTTCAAAAAGCACTGAATTTAAGCTAAGTCACCCAGCACTACCTTTAGTTGATATTAGAGCACAGCAGGCAGTAGCAGTACTACTGTGGGAGGAACAGAGGCAGCATTCAGAGAGGCTTGGATAATGTCAAGTTAACAATGTGTGTCTGTTGTGAAGAGCACAGAGTCATTCTGCTGGCCGTAAGGTCAAATGTGGTTTTGGACAAACAGTTCAAACAGTGTTTATGTAACATGACTGAAAAGCAAAAATGAATTTTCCCAATTTTACATAAGCTTTATTTTTTTATTTTTTTTATTTTTTTTCTATCACCGACCTTCCCACATGCACACCTTAAATAACCTTTATTTTTCCTGAATGTGCAAACACCTGAAAGGCAAAATGCAAATTTCTCCCTTGCTGTCCTCTCTCATGCAGCTGTTTGACACAGATGAGGATGAGAAAATCACCCGAGAGGAGTTTACTGCTCTGCTGCGCTCCGCTCTGGGTGTGTCGGATCTAAACATGGCCAAGCTCTTCAAGGAGATTGATGCTGACGGCTCTGGTTTCATCACCTTCAGTGAGTAGATGCTGCCTTAAGACAAACGTCTAATGCTGAGCAACATTTTGGTCTTTTTTATTTTGTATATCCACCACGGTTTTATGGAATGGGAATATGTGCAGTAAATGAATGCATACAGTATTTTATCGTTAATCAGTTTTACTTCCCTTATCCCAAGCTGCACTGCTTACTCATGCTTTTCACTGTGCCTGTGATTCTTCAGGTGAATTTCAAGGCTTTGCTATGAGCCACCCGGAGTACGCAAAGCTCTTCACCACCTACCTGGAGCTTCAGAGATATCAAGCAATCCAGGAGGCGAGGCCAGGTGATCTGGAACTGGCTGGTCAGACCAGTTCAGGAGAAAAACAGGAAGACAGCATCTCTGACAAGAAAGATGACTGAGACGGACGACAACTGTAAACCCTGCTTGACTGCACTGACAGACAGAAAACTGTATTCACTGCACTGAGAAGGAAAAGGCTGTGTCCAGCGACTTTTAGCAAATTCAAGTCATTTGCTACAGCAGAGCCATATTATAGGTCATGTGCTTGCCTCTGTACAGACATGGGTTTTAGAGTGCTTCTATTTTCAATTTTAGTGCCTTATAGAGATTTTAAAGAACAACTCCCCAATCACTGCACAACAAATGTCTAATTGCAGACTATTTCCATCTGTAAAGATTTGTGTGTGTGTGTGTGTGTGTGTGTGTGTGTGTGTGTGTGTGTGTGGGTGTGTGTGTGTGTGTGTGTGTGTGTGTGTGTGTGTGTGTGTGTGTGTGTGTGTGTGTGTGTGTCTGTGCGCTTTGGTTAGGAAAAAATACAAAAAAACTAAAATAAATGAAAATCTAGTCAATGTTGACATGAAGATGTCAGAAAACTCATCAGTGTTTTAGTCAACTGTCTGAACCCTGCTGCCTTTAGAGTTCTAATGTTAGTGACAGTGTTTTATGATGTACTTAAATATTTTCTCCTGATTATCGTAAACTGCCACACCATGTTTGTGACTGTGATACACCATCCTCTGTAGCCTGAGCTCGCTACCCTTGCTTGGATCGTAGCTTTGTGAACCTCCTTTGTCTTTGTGGTTTTCTGTAAATGAGTGGAGAAATTGCCAAACCAACACCTTTTCAAATATAAAGCAAAGAGTCCTCGTGCTTCTGTTTTAGCGTATAATTAGTGTACAGTAAGCTTTATTAAGATCTCTCTAACCTGGCAACATGCAGATGTTCTGTATTAAGGCTATGCCTACCAAGAGCATACATGCTGTGTGTTACACTTTTTTCCAGCGCTCAGGGACACAGACCTTGTAAGACGGCTGTATAATTAGCCAGAGGTTTGCTTTGCATGTGTATCTATTTGCATTTCTACAGAAGATTGTTTTGCTGAGACAGCAGCGTATCTGCGCAGCTTTAAGTTTACTAAAGCAAATCAAGCAATGAAAATAGGGCAATTTGTGAGCAAAAAGGCAACAGTGCTTCTTCACAACAGCATATTCCAGCGGGGTATGCTTTCAGATTAACTAGCACCAATGTTATTTATTTAGCAGGGTGGGTTGCAATTATGTGATTTTTTTTTTCCTTTTTTGTTAGCTCTGCAAAGTTCGCTTTTTAAAATAAAACAAGAATACAATTTTAACTCTTGCCTGACTTGTTTTTTTTTTATATATATATATATATACTGCATATATATATTCACCACTTGCAATGACTTTCATGGACTTTGTTTATAATGAGTGAGTGCAGTGAATGGGCTGCAGCTGTACCTCTGGTTCTCTAAACCACCACCAGGTGCCAGCAGTTACCTATTCAAACTTTATAGCGCGCGTCTGTGTGTGTGTGTGTGTTTGTGGTCTGCTTGTGAGTATCAGTTTGAATTTAAACCTGTTTTGGCCTGACCATCCTTTTGAGGTGAAGGCTCAACGGTGATGAGTTAGAATCTGATTTAATGGTGTGGCATGTAATGCTAAAGGGTGGAGAAATCACAGGTGTGTGTGTGTGTGTGTGTGTGTGTGTGTACATGTAATACGTAACACAAACGCGATACTGTAGGTAGGTTTTCTGTGTATACTGAAGTTTTGTTTTTGTCCGATTTAACTTATGAATCCCTTTGAAATGAATCATTAACGTTGCATTTAATCGTGTGAACTCAGGAACAGAAGGCGAGGCGTGACATGAATGATATCTTAAGGAAAATAATTGCGTTATTATGACTTACGCTTTAATTGCTCAATTTGTCTGCATTACAGGATTGTGTGTGTTCCATTCCTTCATTTCACCTTTCTGTGACACAACCTGTTTCCACTTTGAGGTAGGAATGAGGCTGGATCATGAGCAGATACAGTATCATGTACCACACAAACTATCATTAAAGAACAATATAGACTGGCCATATGAGACCCACTGGGCAACAAATGAAAACATTTTCTGAAGGACTTTTTATCATGTAATGTTTGTTCTTGATGTGACTAAGCATACTCATGCTTATCTATGTGAATATAATTTCTCAAACTCAGTATTAAATGTCATGTAAATCAGTGTGCATCCAATAAACGTTTTCATTCATCTCCACAGTTTCACCGTTTTCTAACACATGAGTTATCAGTCCATTTGGGGCAATTTGCTTTTTCCAGCTCAACTGCAGTCAGGAGAGCGGTTCATCTGTAAAGAGGCCATAATGCTAATGCAAACCTAATATATGCTGTTCTAAATGGGCTACAACTTGCGTGAAAGTGCTCACACGCACACAAACACACAGAAAAAAAAAAAAAAAAAAGAACAGCCTTGCTCCATATGCACAGAGGTGGTTGAAATGAATGATGGAGAGCTGCTCGCTTCATTAAAAGCCCGCTGTTAGACAAAACTGAGATTACCAGCTGTGATTTCCACCTTCAATTTGTTTTAACCTTTTCAAACGTACAGAGGCTCATTTCATTTTAATCAAAATTGATGAGATGGCATGGAATCAATTAAGTCACATTGTTGCCGCACTTACAACAGTGTGACTCCTCCCCTACCCGCACAGCTCCCGCTCTCCTCCTCGACTCCACACTCCTCCATCCTTCCTCCTTCCGCTGCATGGCTGTTGTATATTGCTGTATCCATTTCAGCCCTGCCTAGGGGGTGATCCTGTCGCAGTAGATTGTGGGAGATATGTGTCGGTAATCTGATTTGGTCTCCATAGGACCTGAGTGAGTGAGCAGCCTCTGTTTGTGGACCCAAGTTGGACACAGGCCTCACACGGATGGGGGACTCACTGTGCCAGGCAGGAAGGAAAGGTCAGAACCGACAGGCCTCGCTGTTAAACTGATGTGACACTGCTGTGCGCCTCAATTTAAGCAGGTGGCCCCGCTTTCTCCGGCGAAATGAGGACACGTCCTGTCTGAGCCCCACTCCTCAAGTTTAGATCCAGAAAGCCATTTATTTAACAAGCTTTACTATCGCATAGTGCTGATTGATTTGACTTCTGAAGGGTAGATTCTGTGCCCATCGTGTCAACCTTCTTAATTCATCTTTATCTCAAAGCAATTCTACTACTCACTGAGCGTATGAACACATTTTTAACATCTCTATAAATACATTATATGCGGATCCATCCAAGCTTCAAGTTTTACCCGCTCTACTACAAAACCACAAGACGGCCTCATCATCGGTGCAATAGTAGAACAGATGATTTCCAAAAAAGTTACAAGTGACTGCGTGGGCTTCATTAGTGCAAGGATGTTTTTGAACTGTTATGTAAGAGGAAGAAATCGAAGTTTTGTTGTCTTTATGTTCCTATAGAATGGACTTTTCCTGCTTAGAACAACAGGATACCTGGAAGACCCCTCCTTTGTCCTGCATGACGAACATGGTTGTAGAGCTTCAAACATGCAGCACAGTGTGTGTTAACATGTGACTACAGGTTGGAGAAGTGTGCATAGGTAGTATAATAAAAGGTATTCTCACCTCACACATGACTTAAACAAATGTATAAGCTGTGGTGCTTACATTAACTGAAAACCCAAGATAACACGCTGGCCATGGTCCTATTAATCATCTACTGAATACTGAAGACATATTGCACATTATTCTATAGACATTTCCCTATAATTCATGATCTAATGGGTATTTTGGCAAACATTGGGATGTCCAGTCATACCTTTGTGAGGGAGGATGGAAGAAGATGGAAGATGGACCCGCTGCTTCCTCCCAGCCGCTCAGTGCACCGAGTTCATTTAACTCTGATGGGTGTTCACTCCTATAGACACTGGCAAGGTGTGGATTTTTACACATGTTGTTGTGGGTCCTGTACTCCCAAACGCACGCCCACACAACACACACATCACCCTTGACTCCTGCAGGCTTCAGCGTGGAAAGCTGTCTCCTTCAGCTCTTTGGGGAGTTCCTCCAAACCTCATTGTTACGTTTCCTTATCGCACCAGATGACACCTTGTTGATTTTCTCTCTCCCATTATTCTCTCAGGAAAGTGATTGTTCCTCATTTCCCATGTGATGGTTTATAGGAACAGTGAAGGTCCTGGTGAGGGCAATGTTTGGGGGAAACGTATGAAACATCAGTGGTCTAACTGCGGTATCTGCACCGGTATCTGCCGCCCAGGTTTGTTTTCCTACTCAGTAGTTTGGGTGTTTCACGTCTCTGTGTTTGATTCTTTTCCAGATGGTTTTTTGGATGACGGACAGCGACTTTTCCTGTGTAATATTGAAGGATGGGTCAGTGTGAGGTTGTGATAAAGACTTTTGTCTTTTAATTCTCAGTCAGAATGGCCAAATAAAGTATGGCAGCATTTATAGATTCCAAACAGACTCAAGCTCATTTCTCTACACTCTGCAAGAGTCTTCGTTCGCAAGTGAGGGAAAGTATGATGTGTTACGGTGTTTATGACTGTACAATAATATGTCTTGTGCAACAGTTATATGAGGGAAAAATAGAAAATGTCCTTATGGAAATGTAAAATGTGTCTCTTATAGGAGAAGCTCAGTCTAAATCTTACTGCCAGACTTGTCAATCAATCACAGCCCTTTCTTCAAACACCAGTCCTCGTGCTGTCAAGCCTCCCTTTTTGTGCCCCCTAATTACTACCCTCCATTCCAACTCAACTTGCGTGCACCCCCTATTGTGTTCTCCATTCATCGCTCACTTGGGGATTGAAGGGGTGTGACCCACTGACAGATAAAATTCTTAGATATATAGATGCAGGAAACTGCCATCAAACCTGGTTATTATTTCAAGCATTTTGAGGACAATGGCACCACATTCTCTCACATGTTTGCTTTGGAGTACAGGTGTAGGTTGAAGCACACGATGAGGTGCTGCTGAAGAGTTCACTTTTCCTGTCCTGCACCTTTTTGATGGGAATATCATACGCCACATTTCCCACATGTGCCGTTGTGCTGCAGAGAAACCGGACGTCTCACTCAGACTGTAATTTCTTCTCACTGAATGCATATGGCATGTAGGGAACAAGACTTAACATTGCTGAGGTGCTTAAATCTTTGCAGACACTAGCAAAGCCCTGAGAGAAGCTTAATGACACTCTGCCTTTCATGAGGCCTGGAGAGATTTAAAACCCACAGAGTTTAGAATGGGGTGCAGAACAAAACAAACCCCACTCATTGCTAATACCATGACCTGATTACCGTGTGGTAATAACCTGGTACTTTAAGTCCATGGAACGACAAAACAAGAAAATGCACATTTTTTTTTTTTATTTGTGAGGATAAAAGTCCTTGATGTAAAAACATCACTCTTTAAATAATGGAATCAACAAGCACTCCTGGCTCACACATTATACAGCACGATCTGGAAAGTCTCATATGCGCTGTAAGTTGTGTCACAAATGATCTGATAAATGTCACAGGCTTATTTGCACTGTGAAGTTATATGTTATGATGTAGCTGTTTCTGAGACAGGAACTGTGAGGTCATATATATATATATATATATATATATACATATATACTCAGAGCAGATGGGTGAAAGATCAAAAGGGGTGTGTGCCTGTGCATGTACGTATATGAGCAATATTTAGTAGGGTAATGTAAAGAAGTAGTAGTGCATGTTTTACGGACATATAGAGAGTCAAAAGGACAGAAAAGAACAGAATCTTTGCTGTGACCCCCGCCAAATGCTCGGGTTAAATCCAGAGGGTTATACAGTGACTGCGGAGAGGCTGTGTCTTCTTTGATTAGCTTCTCATCCTAATGTGGACGTGGGAGAGTCCGAACCTTCAGGCAGAGCAGGAGGTGAAGTCTTTGGAACTGTTCACAGCCAGAAGAGGGGAGCCAGGGTGATCAAAGAAAAAGGTGAAGGGTGATATCATTCCGCCTTGAGCAGTCCTGTACACCTCCATGGAATCAGCATCGGTTCCTTTTTGCTGTTATCCATTCTCAATATATAACATGTGATACGCATCTGCACTATAAGTTGCTTCTTAGGGACAACTCCCATGAAACTGCATATGCCTCTATACATTAGGCTACTCGTGCCTTGAAGTTTGAAGAAGCCTGGTTTAGAGTACAGATTTAGAAATACACTCAACATCATGAAAGACGAAAGATTTGCTCATTCTTGGCTCGGCAAAGTGACCTGAAATAACATATTCAAATGTACCTGACGATACAAAACAAAGTGCAAAGGAATAGAACTAATTCAGGGGAAAACATCAGTAATAACACATTATCCTTCCTTGTTACCTGGTCCTCTGCTTTACCATCGCTGCAGTTATTCAATCTTCACAAAAAAAAAAAAAACGCCCAAAACCAGCCCTATTAGGGTTTTATAAAAACAAGCACTGGAGAGCAAAGAGGACATTCATTGACTTTAATGGGATGAACTGATCAACCATATCTAATAGAAATCATTGCCCCTGGCAAAAGCTGCTGTACAATTGAATTACACATGGAACACAATGCTTTTACTGCTTCTTAGAAAACTGTAATTCAATCTGTTTAGTACAGAGAAGAAACAGATAAAGTCTAAATTAAAACATTAGAAAAGTTTTGTGGTAAGTGAAATTCAAATACTCATGTGAAGCTGAAGGTAAAGGGATCTTATGTCTCTTGAAAAACGTTAAATCCAAGCACAAATCTGAGACACAAAGACATGGTCTATCCTTTTTTACCCTCCTCATGACACAGAAAAACCTCTTCTTCCAATAAATAAACATGTCCAAAGCTTATAAAGTTTAAATCAAGTTTTTTTTTTAACACAGTATTTGATTTATGGAGGAGGTAAGTGGTCATATCATGTACAACTCTACATGGATTAATCTTAAAACCACTGTACTCCCGGCTGACTGTTCCACTGTCAAGTCAGAAGCAGATGCACAACTTTATGGGAACTTGAGCTCATCATGCCAAGTCAACATCAAACAGGAGAGAAAGTGTTCAATTATGAAAAATCACGTGGAAGAGAGAGAGGTCACCGACTTAAAAGCTCGCATTTTATATCGTCTCTGCTGGAGAAGGCGAGTCTTATAGTTCCTTCAGAATGGGCAGTCTTCCCTCAGATGCAACTGGACAACAGCAGCATCGGGTCATGGAGAGGTGTCCCTAGATTTACCAAGTACGGAGGACAGCCTTTCAGATGCACGGCTTTAAATTGCTTTAGCAACGGTGACATATTCATATGAAAATTTATCTTTCTCATTGTTCTTATGAGTAACGTTTTAGGTAATTGTTTGATTGTTCAGCGCACAATGCGCTCGGTGCGCGCGGTGACGTAGAGAGGAATTGGCTCTGAAGTGTCTTTCACCTGACACCTGCTACTGCTGTGCATCAGACTACAGATACAATGTTTTGTCTTAATGCTCTACCTGTTTTAGTGGCTCACAATCATTAGGTCTGTCTGCTCTAGGAGGGATAATGTCACCTATTCCCAGTCAGTCCTAACCTGTATTCTTCGCTGTGCGTAACTGTTTTGAAACTTTACGCACAAACACCAAACCTTTCCAAACTCTCTGTTTCTCTTCCCTCCTCTCCAGCTCATGCACGCGGAGGTCTCTGCTGTAGTTTCGGAGGAGAACGCTCGTTTATCCGGTTTTTGTCAGCGGGATTGCCGTCCTTATTCAAGCTCACCGACTCAGACCATCAGCTCCGCCAGAACCCGCAGGGGGCCGTGAGAGCACCGGGCCAGCGTGGGCTTCGTACGCACCGCAGAGAAGATGAATATCCAGGTCTTGCCAGAACACAAGCTCTCGTCGGTGGCCCCGCTGAAACAGTGCAATGTGGAGAAAAAGGAGGTAGAACTGATACTGGTGAAGGACCAGAATGGCGTCCAGTACACCAGTTCCTCCATCATTCCCACCCCTGGCCACCACGCAGGTCCTCCCGGATCCGAGGACGACCGAGAAACTTGGGGCAAGAAAATAGACTTTCTCCTGTCCGTCATTGGCTTCGCGGTGGACCTGGCCAATGTTTGGAGATTTCCTTACTTGTGCTACAAAAATGGAGGAGGTGAGTAAACCGTGTTATTTCTGATCGATACATGCGAGTACACAGATCCTTAAACATTTAGTGAGGTCACGAAACTTGTCATAGCGTGCCACCAGGTTCAGGGACTTAATCCTTGTAGTAGTATAATAAAAATAAAAGGAATGAATGGGTCGCGGAGCTACACTGCAGGTTATACTAAGTCTCCACAGTAATTTGTAGTATTCTTTTCTTCATTGATGTTCAGTCTTCTTCTAATCAGGCGTCAGGTGCCGAAGCGTTTCTATTTTTTACCTTCAAATGTTTCACAAAGTGTGTTGAAACCGTCTTACAAAGTAAATGTCACAGCATTGTTGTCTCTGATTAGATTTAGATTAGATTTCACTTATTTTGCTGTGTTGTTGTTCTAATTTTAGTTCCCTTAATCTCCTTGAATCGGCGTTTTAATAGTCCCAGGTGTATTGTTGAGGAAGTGCATTTAGCTTTCATGATGAAGGAAATACCTCATTTCATCAACTCATGCACATGAAAAAAGATACTGTGTAAAACATCTACTTCTTTACTGTACCATGTGAGGCAGTCAGATAGAAAAATGTGTCAATATCTCCTGGCAAATCCACAATTTGTTGCTGAACATACATTTTAAATATTCTGCAACATGTATTTGTAAATATATACACATTGAAAATACTGGTGTCCCAGCTCATGGTTACTCTGCAGGTCTGGACACAGGATAAACACCTTTATAACTAGTGTAGGAAACTGAAGGTGCACTGCAGTGAGCCGGGGAAAGTAGTGCAGTTTGTGTACCTGAATCACTACCAACAGGTTGTTTTATCTTCAAAGATAGGGTAAAAACTTTCTTTATACACCAATTACATTATTTTAAAATGGCTTTAATGTTGTGCCACTTTCAGTTCTTGAAATTCCTTAATAGTTAATAAGAAAGCAGTGAAGCATTCATACAGGTATGTAGATGTGTAAAACCACTGTAGCTTTAAAACTGACGCCTGACCTTTCACATTGTCGGGCGCTTCATGAAAAGTTTCAGCATCTACTTTCAAATGATTTTAATTATTTTTATTGAAATCTGTTTGAAATATCTCTATTTTAAATATACTGTGAGGTTTTATTTGCTTGAACTAAGTAAACACTTGAAAATGTGTATGTGAGCTCTGGGGTTTCTCACTAAGTCTGAATACAAGAGAGTGACAGATTGCCAACTCGCATTGTTTTCAACACTATTGAACACTGAAGCTGCAGTGTAGTAAGACAGAGAGAGAAAAAAAAAAAGTACAGTGTGTGTGGTTGAATCAACAAAGGACGGTTGTAAACGGTGTTGTTTTACCTTCAACACTCATGACAACAGAGTGCTCACTAGAAGGTGAGCTCTGTCCTCTGTTTGCCTGCGTGTCCATTCACGAGGTGAAAATCAACATGTTGTGCTGCCGTGCCCCAAAGGGTCAACTCCACCGCTGGCCTGTCAATCATATTGGCCCTCAGCAAAATGTATTCATTACTGTAGATAATGTGTCATTTGTGATGGACAATGTCAAGAACAATTCAATTATGGGAGGTCATTTCCTTGTTGGTGGATGTGCTGCTGAGGCACAGCATGAAAATAGCTGTGAGCCTTCCTGCTTATATGGTGTGTTGTTTTTCCAAGAATGTCAATCCCCTGCCAACACCACTTTTTTTTTGGTATTGTGTTGTATCAAGCACTGATTTCCATATTGAGCACCTATCCTTAAGCATTTTTCTTTTTATTTAAATAAAATTGTAAGTCACGCTCGCAAGGAATTATCTGCCAAATACTCAAAATGTAAATGTTATGTAATTATTTCTTTCTGTCTTTCTTCAGGGGCCTTTTTGATCCCCTACATTCTTTTCTTGGTCATTGCGGGGATGCCATTGTTCTACATGGAGCTTGCCTTGGGCCAGTATAACAGGGAAGGGGCAGCTACAGTTTGGAAAATATGCCCCGTCTTTAAAGGTGAACTGTGACATACACTCACACACACAGGACCCTGCATGACTGTTTACTTCAGCCTCTCTCTAACCTCTTAAACTGTGCTACTTACTGCTCTGTCATATTTTTTTTTATTTTATTTTTTTTTCTTCTCTTCAGTGTCTTGCCCTTTCATTTCATCCCTTTGCTCTTGTCCTTTCACCCTCATAGTTTCACAACTGTCACTTTTAGCTAATCTCTATGTCACATCTCCTCTCTGCATTTCCCTCTGCTTGTACCTGCAACCTTATACCCCTGTCTATGTCCGTGCAAATGTCAGTTTCAAATGAGTGAAACAAAGCCAAACCAGGATAGTGTCCATAGCACACTGAGGAACACAGTTGGAGTCAATTGAACTGCAAGACAGTCACAACCAGAAATCTCAAATGTGACAGCATCTAAAATATTCTTTATTACAGAGAAAATCTGACTGACGTAGAATTGTGTTGTGCAAACTTTAAACTGAGGCTTACATTGGGTTAATTATAGCAACTGGGCATTAACATGGTCTTTTTCTGCTTTGATATGGAGTTTACTACGAAGCCAAACCTGCAAAAAGCTGTTAAACTCCTCTATCTAGCATGAGATTAGTAAATCTAACAACACGTTTCTCTAAAACTAAAATTGCACATAAGACCTTTGTAGTCTCTTATGCAGCAGATTATTATTTGATACTGTCAGATAAGCACCTCTGTCTGCACTGTTGAATCGGCACCAGTCACTGCTTTTGTTGGCTCCGGCGCTGAGGAGGGTTTGTTATCTTCCTGCCTAGAATGAGTGGGTGATGGGTTTATGGACTTCTCTGTTTTCAAGTAAGGACATTACATTCCAGTGGAGACAAAACAACACATCTCAGAATATATCAAGAAAAACCATGGAAAGTATGCATTAACGCCCACTGGATGCGTGTGCAATGGTGTACCCTCCACCACACTGCTGAGGGAATGATATATGAACCTTATGGTGACAGTGACAATGCCAGGTGCGCAAGATCTCAGATATAAGGCAAAAATGACAACCGTTTATCCAATCAGTGTTTACAAAATTGTACAGAACTTAACTAAAGTGGATTTTTTTTATCTTAAGTATATATATATATATATATATAATATATATACTGTATATATATACTGTCACCTATAAAGTTGAATAATTTTGTTTTCAGACACAATCCTCTGTTTATTCCTATTTAAATGCATCAGTAATCACTTTTGACCAGGTGCAATGATTACATTATGTGTTTCCCAATTACCCAGGTGAAATGAAATAAATCACATTGTCACAATCATTTCATGGAAAAAGGAAAAAAATACTTTATTCCAACTTTATGAGCAACAGTGTGTATAACACAGCTAGCAGTGGGAGATGTTCTCAGAGATGCAGCTTCGGATCAATGTTGATGAAATTATTATTACACAATGAGTTGCTTTAACCTTGCAAACCACACCTGCTATCTGTGATTTGTTGATTGCATTACCATTTCTTGTATAATGCACCTGCTTTTTTATGGTTATGTGCAGTTAATTTCATACTGGGATGCAGCATGTATTTATTCAAATGATGTGGAAACATTAAGTTCACATTATGAAACTTCTATAAACAGCTGACAATACATAAACTACAGCGACCTCTAAAGAGTGTGTGTGTCAAGTGAATTTGCACTTGGCTGTTGATGTGATTGAAAATCAGTTGTACAGATAGTTCGTTCCCCCTCAATAATAACCCTGTGTTCCTCAGGTGTGGGCTACACTGTGATCCTCATAGCCCTGTATGTAGGCTTCTACTACAATGTCATCATCGCCTGGTCCCTCCACTACCTGTTCTCCTCCATGACCAGCGAGCTGCCGTGGCTCAAATGTGGCAACAGCTGGAACAGTCAGAACTGCACTGACCCAAAAGCCATCAACGGCTCCGTCCTCGGCAATGGGACTTCTTACGCCAAGTACAAGATCACCCCGGCAGCAGAGTACTATGAGTAAGTGTTTTCAAATAGTCATTTATCAGATAGTAATTTCTGTTGCTTCCATGCAACTTTCTGGCAATGATGTTATTAAGACATGACAGCTGAATCTAAACTGAGATCATTCAAAAGTCAAAAGTCAATCCATCCAGTAAATGTCACAATGCAGTGATCTTGCTCAGTGTTACATGGATAGACGCTATACTGATTAAAAACTAATCATGATTGCAGAGAGATCAAAGTAAATGTAGCCACTGTCTTTGTAAGACTATCTTTGGACATTTTGTTCATTGCCTGTTTGTGGATGTTTGTTTCATTTGGGCAGCTGTGACTGACACAATGTGGCTGATTTAGTATTGTATACAGTTGACACCCAACAACAGCATCACATAGAGGTGATGCTCTCTTGTTTTGTGGATGTTGTATGGGCTATAGTAGTACAGTATATATACATGCCCATGGAACCACTGTCCACGTGAAGAGCTTGCCCAGTCACTGAAACGTGAGCAGAGGACTCCGAAATTATCCAGCCACAAATGTTTGCACTACAAAAGGTGTATACATAAGACGTTCAAATATCCTCTTTGAAGTGCACGAAAAAAGCTCCGTCTGTTTATACTTCAAAGACAACCAGTTCTTCCCCAGCTTCTGTGAAGACTGACTGTGCAGCCCAGAGGAAGTCTGTGAAATGACTTGGACAATACAAGGGACACATGCTAAGCATGACGCACTGAATACATTTAGCATGCAACCTGGCCAATAGTTGAGCTTGCTAAAGTTCCACTCCCATTCTGCTGGGCTGCAGTGGCTCGTACAGTATGTTTATTTAATCAGTATCCAGGGATACCTTTTAACTCCCAGGAACCCTCAAACTTGATAAATTCTAAGTAACAAATGCTTTAACTTAATATGAGAAGGTCAGTCACATGAATTACTACAGACTTTCAAAAAAGTGATGCAACATTGTTCAAAGAGTTGACATGATCCATGAAAACAGCACATATTCCAGGTGGACTATTAGGCTACACTTAATAAATCATAGGAAAAAGTCAATAGATGTGCATAGACAGACACACAATAGGATACTTCAAGACAGCTCTTGCATGGGGTTAGGCTCTGCAGGGGACAATAAATCCTCCTTACAGCTAGCTTTGAGTGCAGGAGCAATGCCAAGGCACAGCATGAGTGCGGCCAACTGAGTCAACAATTCTCTTGCTTGACCTCTTACGCCCGTTTTACATCCACAAACCCTTGAGGTCCTTCAACTACCATGATCATAGTATGCAGCAAAATTCAACAGTAAGACAAAATGTATACGTATGTAAACTTATAATTCTTTCAGTCTTACGTAGGTTTACACCTGAGCTGGTTTGCTTTACTAGTTAGTGGAGTCTGGGCTCACTAACCAGTATATAGCCTACTGTATTATTATTAAGCTTTTATTCTAGCTAAGGAGTCTCACTGAGGATTTCCACTTTGCATCACCAGCTGTACCTGCCCTTACCGTTCACTAAACGCCACTCATATCGCCCAGCAACATGTTTTTTTTTTTTTTACAAAAACTTGAGGTTTTAAGGCCCTTACAGTCGTACCGTTAACTGTTCACTTAGTTTATATTCAAAAGTCTCAACATCAGGCTCTCTGTCAGTGTAATTTGTTGCCATATCATTTTCATTACTGGCATGCAATGAATCTTGGGATAGGTTGGGCTACGAAGGATCCACCTATTGGATCCCTCATTGCCTTTTTCGGCCGCATTTGAAGGAGCCTAGTTGTGCCACTGTGACGCAATCAAAAACTTCAAAACGAGCCCCAGTAGGATGCGGCCTCGGACTTGGGACACAGCTTGTAACTTTTAGAAATGTTTTCATGAACTTCAAACATAAATGATATTCTGATTTCACCCCTTTAATTTATTCTTCAAAAGTTATGTAATACAAGTTCCAGTTTACACCATGCTGGTATTTGTAGCACTGAAAAATGAATACAGTCCAAATCAATGTAGCTGAGAACAACAAGCTGGTGTGATTTTAACATCACATGTAAGAATTTAACAGTAACACAGTGTAAAACTCCACTGACACGATGTGGGTGATATGAAAGTGAATTTTAATTCATGTGACAGGGCTTGTTTGCAAGACGTGGAGTGGAAGGGGCCATGTGAGGACGGCCAAAACCGTGCCAAAAAACTGACCTGGAAACAAATGATCTGGGCATTTCTTTGTGATTAATTTGATAACTTGTGCAGCCACAGGAGATGAAAGAAACCTCACAGATGTTAAACGTTAAAATCACAGCATCATGTCAATTAACTTTACAGAATGAGGTCTCAGTGCTTGAAAGCATACAAATCATGGAGCAGTTAAAGCTGCCAGCGAGATGGCCAGACAGCTATGAAAACCCCCTCTCCTCCAACACCTTCCCGACAATCGGGAATCGGGAGGGTTGGTGTCCGACAACTTTGGTAACTTTCTGAAACCAACACTCACATCCACTCCAAGCAGCGAGTGGCCAGAGAAAATAAGCAGGGTTCGAGCTTCATTCTGTACACAGTTATTTCCGTCCCTTGTGATATCTATGTACAGCCGAGTCTCTGTAAATTTTCAGGAATAGAAAAAAAAACAAAAAAATCTTGTCTTTATTTTATCTTTATTGTCAGATTATTTAGCTTTACTTATTTAAAGGTTTTTATGACCCAAAGCATAAAGGTTGTACAAATTTCTCAAACTTGAAATGAACATATCAACTCATTTCAAATTTAAGAAAAATAAAAATTGACACTGACAAGAATACCAACTCTTTTCATTAGCACACATCCATATCCTTTCTTCCTTTTAAAGCTAGCCTGAAGCAACCACATCTGATTTCATGTCAAGGATAACTAGACTTGATAAATAGCTCTCATTTAAACTAAAAGATCCAATTACATAGACACTTGAGAGGATTGTTTTCACTTCATTCTCACACGCAATTTAACATATTTGTTGAAATAATTACTTTTAAAACAACAAGGAGAGAATCATTTGTAATTAATTAAATAAATCAGGTTGAAATTAGATAGAACTCCTCAGCTGTGTTTTGATACTCAGGTCTTTAGTCCTTCTTATTTATTTATTTTTCACATGCCCTGTTTCTCATCCTGTAACCAACATTAAGACCGGAATGCAGGCAATAGTGTGCCAGCCTCAAACATACAAAGACCCACTAATGGCGGCACTGAGTGTGAGGTTAGCAGCATAACCAGCTCGTGGAGTGACAGAAAGAGTAAATGTGTTTAGAGTAACAGGGCCAAAGGGACCTGGGCTGATGTTATGGTGAGCATTTACTGGCAGTGCACTATCAATACTATCAGATGAACAAAGAGGACTTGGGGCATTACAACAAAACACCAGACTCTAAGTTTCTCTCTTCAAATAAACTGATGTGTTCATGTCGCTATCTGCCTCCCCAAAGACCTTATAACTTTGAATTTATTATCAGCCAAAAGATAAATAAATGCTGAAGACAACTCTCACAGATCCTTTGGTCCCTTCGGGTTGTATGTCTGGACATACTTCAGTTTGTGTGTTGTTGAGGGGTTTTTTTTTTTTGTGTCGAGCTGTTGTGTAAGCAACCTGAGTATCAGATCCTAATCCAGTTCCGCTGTTTATCCACCCATAACATCACATGCCAACTAAATTGAATCTTTCTTGAGGAAAGTCTTTGGACAAATGTTAAGGGAACAAAAGTGCTTTTAAATGTTTTACTGCAACGCGTTGATATCCAAATAAAATACAACCCCCTCTAAGTGTTCCTCCACTCTGGATGGACATCACAGTATTTAAAACATCACATAGTCTGTCTTTGTTGTTGGACTCATGTTTGCCCATCATGAGTCCTGAAAAGACAGATCTTTTTATCTACTGTGGCCTTATGGCCTTGTGAGGCCATTTCATGTAGCATTGTTTATGCCTTGAAACTGTCTTACCCAGTATTTGTGAACAGCTATAACAGAAAGAAAGATTTGAAACTGTGATAGTAATTTGGAAATGGAAACCAGGAGCCGCTGGCCACAACTACTAATGGCCAACCATGGCCCGTGTTGGTCACTTTTACTATTCAAAACATATGAGCAATAAAGTAACATATATAATATAGTACCTGTAATGGGCTCAAAGATGCATCATCATCAGCAGAAAATGCCACTCTCCTACTGTAAGTGATATCGATGGATACATCAGTTTGGGAAGCAGTTTCTGATCTACCATAAAAAATGACCTCTCAAACAAAGCTTTTGCTTTGTATTGGTGTAATTTGCCAAGTCTTGGATGAAATGGGAACACAAACGTGCAAAAGGAACTTCCTGATGTAGTTTTTTAGTTTCATTTTGGGGAGTTAATGGCCTTATTTGGCCTAAGTGTTTAACCTCGCTTAAACTCTCTTATTTACACTGCTTATCTTGCTTGTTTAACCAACACATAAACAGAAATGTAACAATCACAATTTGTGAGTTTGTGTATCTGTGTGCAGCACCTTTTTTAGCCTCCGTACAGGCATGACAGTACCAGAAACCTGACAATCTCACTGTGACAATATAACTTGAGGAAGCTACACACAGTCACACTGCCCTGCTGTAGTTCATGAAGAAAGATTTCCAGCACATACGTTCTTGTAAACATGTTTGATTTGGACAGAATAGCTGTTTCGTCATGTTTCCAGTCTTAATCTAAACTAGGATAACCTCGTCCAGACTCCAGTTGTCCACTTAATATACGTATGGGATTGATAACTACTAAAAATACTGTACTCTCTTGTATAAAGTACATTTTCTGTGGCAGTGCTTTTAAATGAGCTGAGCATCACTTTGAGAAGACATCTTAAGTAAACTGGCGCCTTTACTGTCACCAGATGACTGGACGACATACTGACGGCAGCTTTTGGCCAGAACAATTGTATGTAACGTGTGAACTTCGCTCCTACTCCACTATTGTAAACTGAAGTTGTGCACTTCCTTCCCACTACTCAGAGCAGACATTTCAAGAATGAGCTTGAACCTGGAAGCAATATTTAGCCAGTGAAGTAAGAGACACCATTTATCTCCCCTTGTTTCATTATGTCATAATAAAACACTTTTGAACCTTTGAATGTGCTGGGCTCGAAGATGGGCCGATAATAGCCAAACAATACCACAGGTCATTATTGACAGTTTCAAAGCATCCGTAAGTAGTGGGGTGAGAGACAAAAAATAAAGTGGTTAATTCACTTTACAAGCCAGACAACAGATGATTGTTTCATCCAGCGACACTTAGCTTTCACCTGGATACACATACTTTAGGTAAAAGATATTTAATCTAAATTAGAATTGAACAACATTTAAATGCATTTGTTATCAGTGATAAACTCTGGTGATGTGACGTAATGTTTTTTTCTCGAGAGCATCTGTCCCATATTTCATCTCTCATCTTCACCTCGGGCAATAGAATGTGGGACATTTTGTTTAGGTTCTCCCAGCCGCTGTGGAACCTGGGTGGGCCTGTTTGGCAAAAACATGTATAAATGTTAAGATGTAGCCAAAAAAAATTACATCCCATACCACAGGAACATTACATCACATTATGTCTGCCTTGTAGTATTTAAAACCGATGTGCTTGGAAAGACTTTGCCCGGCTGGACCACTTATGTTCAGTATCAGCATTTATTATAGTGCTATGACTCATGATGCACAGTTTTGTTATCTTTTAACAATACAGTGGTATTATGTGGTCAGATTTATCCTACCGAGCTGATATGAGAGTATACAGTAGGCCTTTATCAAAATGAAAGAAGGCCTAGATATCATGATACATTTTTTTTTCTCCATTGTGCCTGTGTGTCCTAATGCAGACGGGGTGTGCTGCATCTCCATGAGAGTCAGGGTATCCAGGACTTAGGCCTGCCTCGCTGGGAGTTGACCTTGTGTCTGGTTGTGGTGGTCTTCATCCTCTACTTCAGCCTTTGGAAAGGTGTCAAGTCCTCAGGGAAGGTAAAGGCCCGGACAGCCAAACAATAATATCTGCTGCTTTCTCAGTTATTTCTTCTTTTAATTGATAAAACTTAGAACTTAAATTATTTTATGGCAACTATAATATCTGTAGAGGAATTTGTAGCTTCCGCTAAATACACATTTGCACATTTTCACATTTTGGAGTCAGACAGTAAGAGAGGGGGAGTGTTGTTATTGATAGAGTGGTTCAATGAAAAACTGACGTATTTTCCCCCTTTTTCGTGTCTGTTCTTCTTGTTTATTCAGGTGGTGTACATTACAGCTACTATGCCGTACGTGGTCCTTTTTGTCTTGCTGATCCGAGGCATAACTCTACCAGGGTCCATGGACGGCATCAGGGCCTACCTCCACATTGACTTCAAGCGGCTCAACAACCTAGAGGTTAGAGACTATGCTTGTTATCCAGAGTTGGAGATATTTTGAATGGGTTGATATGGGATCACCAGTAAATAAAAAAAAGAAATGATTGTTGCTTTGAGTATGTGTGTGCCAATGCTGCACAGACCTACAGTTTTGTGTTACTTGATGACCTATGGTTTTGTGTTAACCTCAGAGACTTTGAGGTTATCTATCTTACACTGTACAAGCTGTACAAGTAACATTTACATCAGAGTTGACGGATTTAGAAAGCCCTCTTTCTATGTTAACTGCAATTCATTGGGTGGAGTGTCTCGAGCTCTGAGGGTTAAAGGCTAGATTCCTGCTGGTGCCTCCCATGCTAAATGTATGTGCAGGACTTGAATGAATGTACTGTATACATGCATACTTAAGATATTATCTACATGTGTTAGGGTTGACACACACACACACACACACACACACACACACACACACACACACACAAATATATACAGTATAACTCACAAATAAAGAAAACCAATATTTATATTTAGGTCACTCCCTGTCTGTGAGGTATTTTAGCCTGGAAGTGATTTCTTATTTCTCTTTTATCTTTGCTGTAGGTGTGGATTGATGCTGCCACCCAGATATTCTACTCACTAGGAGCCGGATTTGGTGTGCTCATTGCATTTGCCAGTTATAACAAATTTGACAACAACTGCTACAGGTAAGAGTTTGCTCTGTATTTGTGATTTTTGAAGCCCACAGCAAACATAACATCCTGATGCTGTTAGGCGGTCGGCTGTTTGCAACATGTAACTGGATCACGAAGCAGCAGAGGTGATGCTAATCTGCCCAGCTGACCCCAGTGGCCAGGTGTTATCAGAAAAGATAAAGTACAGGCCAGGAAGGGTTGCCAGATTATAGCCAAAGGCTGTATGTTGACTGGTTTGTCATAGTGCTGCTCTTCCTCAGAAAAAGCAGGCGTGAGGTTGGCTAATCTCTTCCACATTAATAGGTGGCAGTAGTGCTGTTTGTGGCAGATGCTAGAAGCAAAACAGCACTTTAACCTGTTGTGGTTGTAAATTGCAGACAAAACATATCTCGCTGTGGTTACACGAAATCTCTGCAGCAGCTAAGTGCAATACCCTAACTAAGAAATGAAATGGTTCTTATCAAATGAATAAATGATCTGCCAGCAGGTGAAATATAATGCAAAGGGACATCACAAAACCCTCCAAGCTAAATCTAAAGCTGAGTCAGTGCTGTGCTGTATGTCATAAGCATTAAGCATTCAAATCTGAACCAGTTAAAAGGCAGCAGCAAAGAAGACCTGGTGACTTTAGAAAAACACAGACATTTGTTTGAATATCCACACAGATCTGCAACAGACTAATTGAGCAAAAATTTTAGCTAAATTTTAAATAACCACCAAATTTTACTGTATGAATGTTTATTTTTGTCATATATATATGGTTTAAGTGAGGCACAGTCTCTTGTGATGTGTGTAATGTCCTGACCAGACTGAAGAGCAGGACTGAATACAAACTGAAAAGGTTCTATCACAGCGTACACACAATACATTAAAACGAGAAAGATCAGAGGGAGGAAAATGCTTCAGTGAGAGGTTTCTACTTCAGCTCAGGAGGTGGCCGAGGTCAAGTTGACCTTGATCATTCTGTCAGACAACCACACGTGTGTGGCCACAGAACAACACACTAATTACCGCTCAAACCACCAACCAGGAGCAGAGAAGAAAAGCCGCTCATTAACCTGAATATCCCCTCTAAAATACAGTGTTTGGCTGAAGATCAACTCATGGGAAAACTTAAAAGATATCAAGTTTCACATGGCCCCATTTTGACTTTACTTATGTGACCCAGTAGAATGGAATTGACTTCAACTATCACACTTGAATTACTATTAGCAGCAGCACTGATTTTAGCAGTGGCAATGATAAAGCAACAATGATAGTAACACAAACAGTGTCATGCTCATGTCAAAACACTGATGCTGACTTAATGTCTGTAAAAAAAATTAAGTTAGTGTACCCCATGCCAAGCTACAAATAAAAACACAAATTTAGAAAACTACAAATGGAGAATGTATACATAAGGGAGCACTGCTTTCTTTGCAACTTCTTGTGTGTTTTCTTTTCTTCAGGGACGCTCTCCTGACCAGCACTGTGAACTGCATCACCAGTTTCTTCTCAGGGTTTGCCATCTTCTCTGTGCTTGGATACATGGCTTACAAACATGGGGTGAGAATAGAAGATGTGGCGACAGAGGGTAAGCATATTTTTTTTCTTTCGCACTTGCTATGAAATGAAACGGGAATATTATATTTATATATTTGGTCATGCATGCAAATTTCCGCCTTGTACACATACTATATTGTTTGTATGCATGTTTCTGTGTGTGTGTGTGTGTGTGTGTGTGTGTGTGTGCGCGCGTGTACAGGGGCAGGATTGGTGTTTATCATCTACCCTGAGGCGATTTCTACACTGCCTGGCTCAACATTTTGGGCTATTGTGTTCTTCATCATGTTGCTGACTTTGGGCATTGACAGCTCGGTGAGTCCCAACAACCGTTAAGACTGCTCTATAGGATAGATCTTATCCTTATAATCACAAGTAGGAATCTTTTTAGTTGGATGGACTGGACAGAGACCCTGCTCTATATGTGGATTATGATAAGATACACAAAAAGTAAACATTTCAAAAGTTTTCATGTAGTACATGGATAAATGCACAAATACATGAATAAAATGCAATTTAACTGATGAAATATATGCACACATACACCATATGCTTGTAAAATACTGGATATAGGTTTGCACAGTGCTTCAGCTTGTACAAAGGTTCAGACATTGATAAAATATCTTTAGAAAAAAGTTCTACATCTTAAACAAGGCTAGATTTGCCCTGGTTTTGAATCAGAGCTAAGAGAAACGGTGCTACATTTACTGTGCATGTACAGAACAGACCAGACACTGTGTATGTCAAAACCCCTTGGTAACGATAGTAATGATATCCATGTATCATGTTGTAAGACTTTCGTAACTAGGTTGCCCATTAAACTTTATTATTTGTTGGAAAACAATGCTCATTGCACACTCACTGTCCAAGTATGTTTCTGAGAAACAGATTCTTTAATCAAAGCACCATTTTGCTTTGATGATGTGAGATTACCATGATTTATAATGTGAACAATTAGTCTGCTATGACGTGGAAATAACGTAGCAGAATGTCTTCTGAATCAAGCCTACTAAATAACAATGTCAAGCGTTGTTTATACTTTCCCTCCTGGAAGCAGTCTTTCTAATTGTTCTGGATGATGTTAAAATAGTCTGTAACTGTAACAAATAAGTACCATTAACATGAATAAACATGCAGCCTGACTTTGTTAAGTTTTATTCAACAAGATAATACCTGTGTCTTTCATATTTGAGACATTGTTTGCCAACTGCTCAGTGAGCCCAAATAATAAAGTGGATGAGAGAGGACACCCTCATCCAGCAACCAATTAGATTCTTAATGAATGATGTCATGGCGAGGGGAAGTTGTAGAATTTAAGTAATAAAAGTAAACATGGGTAAACTATGTTTCATTGTCTGTGGCAACAAAAACTGCCTTCTGTGACATTTCAAAAGCTGTAAGCAGTAATTTAACCAAACATTCTCACAATAGACTCACTCAGATGCTAAATAAACAAAGGGCAGTCAAACTCTGTCAGCAAATGTCCCGGAGTAATTAACTCATTCTTTCAAATCATTTGTCAAGCAGATCAGATGAAGACCATGTCAGTATGACATACGCTAATGTGCTAGTTATGTGTACTTTATTGTATATTATCTTCCATTATTATCCTTGTACTGTTATGGTGAGGTAGGATCAAGGACACCCTGGCTGGATAATAAAGTTATATTCAATTTGTCAAAATTGAAAGCAAGCGATTGCAAAATGAGCCAACTAACTGTAACTTTTGTTGGATATTAAAAAGTTACATTTACAAATGCCAATCATACTTTGAATTTTGAAGTATTGTACATCAAAAATGACATTTTCATTCACTTTAAATGTCTCTAAATGCACATATGCAGTAATGTTTTTAGACATGCCTTTCAAAAATTCATCTGAGCTGTTCACTGTTTTTAAATGAGTGATGTTCAATACTATTTTCATGAATACTCCTTGTTATTTATGAGTGCATAACACAGTATACATATATTATGTATAGTTCAATAAATAGGTTCAGTATACAGTACTGTATGTATCAGCATACTTATGCATACTTTTAAAGTGCAGTGATTACAATTTGGATTTTTATTTCAGGATCTAAAGGGATTTCTGAGTGTCATGTCTCTGTCTTTGTCCATTAGATGGGCGGCATGGAGGCAGTCATCACAGGCCTGACGGATGACTTCAAGATCCTCAAGAGAAACAGGAAACTCTTCACCTTCGCCACAGCCTTTGGAACCTTCCTGGTCGCCCTGTTCTGCATTACTAATGTCAGTATCAAGTGCTATAAGGTTATGCTCAATACATGAATGAAGTACATGATTAAAGTCCCACTTTCAACATAATGCTGGCTGATGTAATTAGAGATGTAGAATATTTTGCTTTGCACTCTCACTCAGCCACGATAGCGAATGTGTACAAATACGGTGCATTGAAGAACCAGTACGAACTTGGCTGTTGGAAAAAAGTAAATATTGTTTTAACATATATTAAATCAGTAATGTACTTAAAGTAGGGGTAGTCTGCACTGTCAAAACATAATAAATTTAAACTGCATGTCACCACCTACTAAAGTACTAAAGTCTCATGATACTATGTCATCACAGAAAAATTGCTCAAAAATGTCAAAGAACTCTTTCAAACAAGCCGTTACATCAGACTCTGATAAATAATTAGAATTCAATTACAGCTGTGTCCAGGGAGCTAACGATTATTTTTCTCTGCAGTCACTATTCATTCACATCGTCTCAGCACTAAGGAGAAACGCTCACCGATTACATAAATACAGTCTCTGAAAGACAGGAAGATATTATGTTAGTGATTCACATGGTTTTCTTCCCTTAAATCAAATCAATAAAAATTATTGAGAAAGTGAATGATGCCTTTCCCATGCTAGATACAGAGTGTACCACTCAGGATACAAATCATGTGAGGCTCGTCTACGCTCAGAGGTCAACTCTTCAAAGTGCAAACATGCATATAGATATTATGCCTGAGAGACCGTGGCTTATTGTCTACTTACAGAGGTCCACTTATCTTCAAGGGTGAAGATTTATACACCACACACACACACATTCCAAATTCTCTCTGTTTCTTTTCTTCTCTGTAGGGTGGGATCTACGTGCTGACCTTGTTAGATAAGTATGCAGCAGGGACTTCTATACTGTTTGGTGTGTTGGTCGAGGCCATTGGCGTTTCATGGTTTTATGGTAAGAACTTAAGTACTTTGGCACTAAATTATTTCTTTAAGATTACTACACTTATATTATGAACATATTTTCCCACTTTAAATGACATTAGCTACATTACGTTTTTTTTTTTGTAATGACATTCAAAATGACAATGAAATTAACGATAAACTGAAACATCTCAGACCCTCACCCATTCTCACTCTCTTGATATAATCTTTAGGAAAAAACACTGACACTTATGTCTGCAGATGTAGTTGGATATTGAAGGTGGAAAAAGAAGACAGAGGGCCAAGTTAATAAAAAACCTTACTAAATGATGGAAACCAGGATCAGAGAATCAGGATTAGTGATTGTAAGTTACGTGGTGTACTCAGTTTCACTTCTGCAGAACAAACAGCAAGTGTATGAGTTATGTGTTATAGCTTGTCAGCTTTATCTCTGTGTCCTCTCACATATGCAGTACAGAGCAGGATCAACTACAAAGACAAAAAGATGCAAAGAAAAAAAAAAAGACCCAAGGAAATGAACGAAAGGACACGTAATAAGACTGCATGCTGGAATACATAGCAGACCTATTGTATCTAAACTATCCAGCTTAGTCAATCTTGTCTTCCTCAGAAAAGGGAAGGTACAATCGCAGAGAAACAGATAGAAGAAACTTAGAAGCGGCCTATGTCAAAAGGGCAAATCATCCCATGGTGGTAAAATTGTGCAACCGGATAAAAAAAACAATAAATATGGGTAACCGCATTGGGAATCTTGATAAGATAATGAAGCTAATAGATGAAAAACACGATGTATTAAGTCAGCCCAGGTCAGACGAGAAAAAAATATCTGTGGACTACGAGGGTGTAGACCATCATGTGTTGCGTTCCCTCCTACCGTCCGCTGAGACTGCATACTTGGCATGAAGAACTTGCTGTAGCCTACTCTGGTTGAATGTTGAATATGTCTTAACTTTACTCCCCACAGTAACCTTTGCTGTGTAACTTATGCTCTCTCCAGGTGTGGACCGCTTCAGCGAAGATATTGAGCGAATGATGGGATTCAAGCCAGGTCTCTACTGGAGGCTGTGCTGGAAATTTGTCAGCCCAGCTTTTCTTCTGGTGAGAGGAATAAAGAACATTGAAGTAGCTACATTTAGGGCTATGGTTTCCTGGGCAGGAATAATGTAATGTAATGTTGTCAGGAAAAACTGTATCTGTCATTCATAAATGCTTGCAAGCTGTATAACGGAATCACTTACTCCAGCATGCTGTAGTTTAATGCTGTCCAACTCAGCTGTAAGATTTAACACAGAATCCGAATTTTAATTGCACCCCCATCAGAATCAAGAGCTAAAGTACATTAAATTAATAGTTTGGGTGACACACAGGGAAATAGACAGAGGCCCATATTTGAATCATGAGCAGAGGTCCTTCTGGCTTGTTCCCAGAGGGAAGGTGGGACGAGGTGGATAGTTTGAACCTTGTATGCCTCCTGGCAAATTTCTCACTGGCCGGTGAAATAAGTGGCTTGTGACTCCACATGCATTAGAGGAAGCACATGGCAGAGTCCACTGTTTGTCCAGGGGTGGGTGCAGAAAGCCACGTGCTTCCTTTAATACAAATGGTTGTCGACATCCTCCTCTAGACAACGGTGGAAATGGTCATTCCATATTGTATACATCCTTAACCAAAATTCACAATTTAATGGAGAGCAACAACTACATGTGCCGTCTCTGTTATAGTAAGTGAGCGTTTTCATCATGTACCATCGTGTTAACAACATTGGAGATGTGTAAAGTGATTGAGAAAATAATGATTCAACAGCACACCTTACCAATCATATTCCACTTCATCCAGGCTTTTTTCATCCGTGGATGGTTGTGCACTTGAAAATACCTAGTGTACTTATGCTTTCACTGTCCATGTGCACATGAAGCAGTGCTTTGTGCTGGACATTGTGTCTGCCGGCAGGTAAAAACAAGGCCCTACAAATCTGAAGTCCTGCCCCTACAAGTCCTGCTGCTTCTAACACTCAACTACACCAAATGAATTTAATTACTGACCGTTATCTTCTGCCCTCCACATTTAGGTAAACAGGACTAAACATGTTTGCATCAACATTTCTAACTAACAGCAACTCCTTAACAAAGCTGACATTTTTCCTGTACAAAGAAGACTGCTGTGGTCTTAGGTAGTCAGAAAAAAAGAGCGGGATACTGACCTCTCCATGATACATGATATTGAAATGATGTTTCTGAGGGACAGAGTGCAGGTTGTTCAGTCATGAATTCAGTCTAGAACAGGTGAATCAGGTTACAGAAAGGGGGAAGAGTTTATTACATTGTACACAGACGCCCAACTCAATTCAGTTTCATGAATAAAAACTTTAAAAGACATTACAGAGGGACTTTGATAGGGGGTGTCTGTTCTGATAAAGATGTTTCAGTTCTTGGCCTGGGTTTCACTGTGTCTGTTTTGCTCTTTTTTCATGTTCCCTCAGTCTTTCTCTCTCTCTCTCTCTCTCTCTCTCTCTCTATCTGTCTCTCTCTCTTTCTATCTATCTATCTCTCTCTCGCTTTAAATTTCATGACTTCTACCATTACAAACAGCAACACAAATAGATGTAACACGCTCATATCTGTGTGTTTCTCTTTTTCTTCCCTTTCCTTTCTCCTCTCTTTCACAGTTCGTGGTAATAGCCAGTACTGTGACATCGTCAGGCCTGAAGTATGATGAATACACCTTCCCTAACTGGTCCAATGTAGTTGGCTGGGGCGTGGCCATGTCCTCTATGCTCTTTGTACCATTCTACGCTATTTATAAATTTCTCAGCGTACCAGGAACGTTCAAAGAGGTCAGTATCCACACATGTTTGTCACAAAGGTTGATAAAATACATGTAACCTGCTTTCTAAGAGCTATTTAGTAGATATTTGAGAAGTCATTAACTTAAATTTCTGTCAAGATGATCATTGAAGAGGAGGATATTATGGTAACAACAATTACAACAGACACAAGCACTTTGTGAGCACAGTTTGCAGGGGTACATGGTATAAATACAACAGGATGCCACGCCGTGGAAATGGACCTTGCATAACAGTAGCAAAATGTAATCAGCTGTAAACAGTACAGTTCTGGCTAAAGGACTTACAGTATGTTCTTTTTTGAAAAAACTTGAAAACAAGTATCTGATTTAGGACCAAACATTCCTGACACTGGCACCGTGAGAACACTTTGAAATGAAATGATTGCTTCAAAAAAATTGAGAGTTTATGATCGTAATCATCAAAGCACCGGAGAGCTATTTTCATCACTCAGCAGAGTGAAGTGTCAGCTCCACTCTACTGTAACAACTCCCACAACCCATTGGTACTGAGGGTTGAAGGTTCTTTGCAGGTTCTCAGGACGCAAGTTTGTCCTGTTGCTGCCAATCAAATTTTAGCTGCATCTCTAAAGTTGTTGATAGGAATTCCTCACAGGTTCCAAAAAGCATTGGTGTCACTAATTTGAGATAAAGTCCATAACTGACTGTTTTACTTACATCTGTTTGCATTCCCTCTCCCATCTCAAGTAGTATGTGGACTCTTTGATTCCCCTGAGAATATGCACATGTGAAAAGTCATCTAAGAAGACAATCATTTTATTATTAATTAAGAAATGAAAAGAGTACACACTACTTGTCAAAAGTTTAAGAAGATGCACATTTTTTTCTGTTTTCATTGTAACTTAAACAGCTAAAGTCCAGTGCACAACTTCAAACAAAAGTAGTAAACAGCCTGAGAAAAATAAAGTTATGTCACCAAAAACTGAAAAAGTAAATTTCATATAGAAGGGGCCTTTTTCAGGATTAACTTACAGCTTTACCAACCAAACAATTCCTACAGGTGCCAACCTTTGTCAATGACTTACAAACCCTCTGTCTGCACAGAAGCAGTGTTGGAACAAACTGTGTTACTAAACCCTCTGATGCATTATCAGGACAGCACTGTACTGCAGGAAGTAGTACTGTACGTTGCTATCAGAATGGTGAGAAAGAGACATGTAACAAGGGCAGATAGACTAGTTGGTCAGGGATTCATCCTACAGCAAGATAAGGACAAAACTGGAAAACCTGGAAAACCTGAGCTATCATAAACAGTTTTGGGATTTTTTTTTTGAAGATTTATGCGCAATGTTGTGAGCTAAGTGTTGAGAATGATGTGTTAAATTGACTTGTTTTTGCAGAGGATAGCCTATTGCATCACTCCAGAACATGAACATCATTTGGTGGCTGAAGGAAATGTGCGGCAGTTTAAAGTAAGGGCAAATTTTTGTTATTTTCTAACAGTGGTAATTTGAACTGGCTGAGAGGCCGCAATGAATCTGGATTTGAACATGTGAAGTGATTTGTGCTCCATGACTGACTGCTGCTAATTTGAAGAGTAGGCAAAAAGACAGTGATGATACTTTTGGGTGTATGCGTTTATGATAACAACTTCTACAAAAAAAAAATGGAATAAAATACATTTGAAATCAAGTCACAGAACATACTCAAGGCTTCCTTTTGTTTTCCAGCTCAGTCATTGGTTGGCCATCTGATGACAAATACAAAGAATTCCCTCATCCATCCTCACATCTGGTGTTTGGACCTGTGTGCCGCCACACAAGGAGAGCAACAGACTTCAAACTCTCTCTGCAGTCCCCTCTCCTGTGCATTTACCACCCAAGGCCTTTGTTGTCAACAGCGGCTTCAAGCACTTTGATTTCAGAGTTATGCCCCTTAGCATTATAAAATAATTCTACAGCTTTGGCTCATAAGGGAGGGGCATCCCATGGGGAAAATGTACTGTTATTTGCCCATGGACATCATTATGGTTTTTATATACTATTTTAGTTATTATAATACTATTTAATTTTTATAGTTTGTGATGTGAGATTTATCTCTTAGAAGGGATAGAAACTAAAATAAAAACCAAAACAATCCCTTGTCCCTGTGCGTTACTATACAGGAGACCAAGATATTTCCATTTTTAAGCTTATTTTTAAGCCTGTGATTATTTATTATTAGTGTCACCTGCTGTCACTCTGTTGGCTGAGTGGCTTATTTGTGTCAGTGCCTTATCAAGCGAGACACTCCATGTTTCTTACATAAAAGAACTGCGTTGACTCAGGAACCCACTAAATCAAACCACAGACTGTGGATGGCTAAGCTCGGTTTTGACCTTGTTCTTTGATATTCAAATCAGAGAGCTGGGAGTCAACAGACCATCAAGGTCAAGCTCCTGAGCAAAGAGAAAACAGGCCTTATATAATGCTTTTGTGTCACATTGTGTTACAGAAAAGGGAATAATGCATGCATCACTCCAAAGCTTTAAAATAAAAAAAAATAAAAAAAACTGAGGCAGGCTTCATTCACCTCTTACAGCCAGGCCTTGATCTCAAAGAAAGATTAAGCCTGAACCTGGTCAGTGTCTGGCTGCTCACTTAAGATGAAGGGGGAAAAATTCAGCAAAACAAATGGCGTAACTGTTACAAACAGTTTTGTGTTATTGTTGTGTGGCTTTTACTTTCCAAATTTTCGTCTGTTCAGTGCTTCTAAGGAATATATGTGGCTTTTCCTCTGGAGACAGAAAGAGAGAGAGAGAGAAAGAGGGAGAGAGTGCGTGTGTGTGCGTGTATTCAGATTTTGTTGCCAGCCATACAGTGTTGCTGTTGGAGTACAGCACATGGAAGAGTGACAGCTGTAAAATGCCTCTTTCACTGCACTCTATATTGACTATTATGTTAAGTGTATGACAACAACTCATCAACATCTTGTGATGTTCCTCTTTTTCATCACCATAGTAGTGCCAATATGTTCCTTCGGGAATGTTTTTAATTATCTTCTTCTGTTTTCTCTTTTTTTTTTATTTATTTGAATGAAGTTGAAGTTGAATTTTAACCTTGAATCATAACAGAACACCCTTACTGAAAGGAATAAAGCCACAAAGAAAAAAACAAATATATGTGGAGTATATAAGAAGATATAAAAAATATATAAATATATTCTTTTGTTATATCTAATCTTGTATTTATCAAATTGTTTATAACAAAACGTGAATGTAAAGTATTTTAAACGTAACTGTCCACAGTCATAACATCGTGTTTGATGTATAGCTAAGATGAACTATTTAGAAAAAATATTCTTCAGTGTAACCCTGGGATACTTTGTCACATACCAATGTGAACAAAAACACCTGGGCTTTCCTGGACTATGTTTACAAAAATACTGTGTACAATACCAATGTCCTGTTGAACGTGAGTGACAACTATCTATGAAGAAGTCTGGAGTATTCACACTATGATAATAAAGAATTTCTTCTACACACAAACTTGAAGGCCATATGTTGTGATTTTACATAATTTTTCTCTCAGTCTTTTCTTGATTTTGTGATCACCAGATGTCATTGCTTTGATATTTATATTATACACACAACAAAATATTAATAGACAATGAACAAAAAAAAGAAGGATCACAATCGATGCAGCAAGGCCAGAGATGCCCACTTTTTTTATTCCGTACATTCTTCTCCCTTGTCAAAACCTGGCACCTGCATTACCCACAATGCAAATCTAACTGCTGACAGTTCAGCTGGTGATTCAGGTGTATTATAGTAGCAGCTAATGTCACCTTGAGCTGCTAGCGTCAAGCAGAGATGAGGAGCAGGCTACAGATTTCTGTTGAGCTCAGTTCTGTTAAACTCCACCCCCCCCCCCCCCAGATATTTTTTACTTTCAGAGTTGTGTTCTTCAGCCACAACTGACTTTGCCTCAAGAGACATAGCCGATCACTTGAGGCAGTTTTTTTCAGATTTTTCACAGCTCCCTCTGGAGCCGCAAACAGCTTTGTACACCTTTTTTCCATATAGTAATACTACCCAAGAGCTGCAAACACACTTTGATGTGTAAAATCAGTGGAGCTCCCCTTTAATAAAACATTACCAGATTTCTACAGTAAAAAAAAAAAAAAAAAAAAAAAGCCAAAACTTTTAAAAAGCCACACCTGAAACCCCACTCATCATTCCTTTATCCTAAGTAATATGTCCTTATAACTTGTAAGGAATGTACGAGTAATGTAAATAATACTTACTTTCTGGTCCTTATTTAACAGTCAGTGTTTTTGGTCAGATAAAACAGAGCATTAATAATAAATGCAAAATCTTTCAATCCTCTTTAATGAACAGTGTTGCCCCCCCCACACCCACACACACACACACACACACACACACACACACACACACCCCTTTTCTCTAGCATCAGAAACTTGACTAACTGTATAGTTTTCCTGCTGACTGAGGGCTTCTCATAGTGGCTGACTGTGCCTTTCCACTGCCTCTCCCTTTGTTAGCCTTCTGTACCACTGGCATATAGGCCTTCAGTGTTCATTCTTTGTGCCTTTGCTGGCTAAGCTACTATTGTTCATGATCCTCTGGTGCACACATGCCAGGTTTACACGTTAATTACTCTTGAAGAAATTAGTTACAAAAGCTATAGCCTACATGACAGTGTTTTACACAGGTTCTGGTCTTTATTGGGAAAATTCAGCTGTAGCTACCGGAAGTGATACATTGTCTGATTCCTTAGCTGTGTCCTAAATGACAACTCTAACCAACAATATAAGGTATAAGCATCAAAACTAAAAGTGTTTTGTAACTTTTCCATTTTTGTTATGGGACACAAACATACATCAACATCACACTCCAAAATGAATATCCGTACTGACATCCTTAAGTATATGTTTTTGTCTTATCTTTCCCACGTCCACACTATAATAAAAATACAGTATCAGTAGGTATGTCTTGCATGGCTTGTTGGCAATAAAGAAGAAACTAAATAAACAGGGGATAGAGTTAACATGCAGAAACAGTGGATAAGCAACAATCTTAATGGCAATAAGGAGCAACTGGAATACACAACATGTCTTTATGTAATACACTTCAAAAATACTTTTTTCCAAAGAGATATTGTTGGCACATATAGTCTGTTAACTGGGAAGCTTTTAAGCTCTTTTTAAGTCACAGCGTAGTAAGTCATTGGAACCTCCTGGCTTTGACCTCTGTGCAGAGTTGAGACACAAAGTGGGTTAAAATATCCCTGATCCTACCCAACACACAACCCAACACAAAAGCAGAGAGAAGCTAAAACTGTGTTAAGCCAGTGGAATGCCTCCGTAAATGCTAATCTAACCATTTCACCACCCACTCCATCACCTGTACATGAGGCAGGGCTGAGAAGTGTAAGGCACCAGCTCAGACAGTCAAGTTGAATTCTTTTACTCATAAGTTAGGACTGGGTGATAGCATAGAGATGTTGTGGTTAGCACTGTAACTTCAAGGTGCTGCACTTATAACCAAAGTACCAACCAAAGTAGCATAAGAAGAAAGCATCAATAAAATCACACAATTACAAAACAAAGAGTAAAGGAAAAAATGTACACTAAATGCAAATGTTTATTTTTTAATAATATGTTTTCAAGAGTTTAAAAGCAGACACCACACCAGCTAACCTGAGCTCTTTTACTCAAACTATTCCACAGCCATAATTTACAAAGGCACAAATACATACAAAGGCACAGTCACCAACAGTTAACAATAAAAAGCAGCTAAAATAGGTGTACTAGGATTGAACAATCACCACAGTCAACTACCATGAGGAGGTCATTTGTAACCTTGATTAATGCTGTTTCTGTGCTATGGAAGTGTCTAAATCCTGACTGGAAATCCTCAAATATGCCATATTTGCTCATGTGTGATAAAAGATGAAAGAAGATCACTCCTCCCAGTACTTTTAAGATACAAAATTTAGAAATAGGAGTTATTGGTGATTGTTAGTAGTCACCACAGTAAAAAAACTTGTGTGGGAGGACTTTCTCTTTTGAGTCAAACTGTCTTGCCTCAAGGCTTAGCCCTAAGCTTTGAGGCAAGGCTTAGACCAGGCTGTTTTCAGTAGGGGGAGAATTGCCTAATGACCCTTACTAAGAAGGACAATTTTAAGGAAATCCTCAACCTGCCCAACATGCCCTCTGTGGAGAAAGCACAGTTGGAGGACTTGCAGGGAGCTGAGATTCATTTTGAGATACTAAAAGCTCTAAAATATTGCTGGGCTGTCATGGGAAACATACTTCTTCACTGTCACATGGATGTTGGGGACAATTGGGGGCAGTTCCTCTGAATTGGCATATGGGATTAGTGGTTGCCATTTTCTCATCCGCTAATATGTAGGATGAATTACATATTTCATATTCCTGATGGGCCTTGAAAGTGCAACAGGTTAAATGAAGAAAACACAGCACTGTGTTTCCAGGATATGATGGATATTAAGCGATCAGGACAGTTTATTGAGACAAGATATTTGCAAACTGGAAATAACATAATTTTACTGAGTAAGAAGGTCGAGTTTTCTCCTTTAGAACCACCTAATTTGATAATGAACACTTCCATAGCCGATAACCAATCTTACTCTTTCCACCTTTGATCTGTTGTTCTGAAGTAAGGCTGAATTGTCTACCTCTTCCATCTCACCTCATCTCTCCCCTGCTTCTCAATGCCTCCAGTTCTACCTTAATGCAGCAAAAAGGTCAAAACCACAAACTTTCATCAAATTTGTTTAGCCAATAAAAGTCAAGCTGGACCACCACAGACTGCTTCTTAATTGGCAGCTCTGTGCAGCACTAATGTGATTGGGGCAAAGGAGAGGCATTTTTTAATGCGCCTCTTTAGACTGAGGACTTGTTCTATACTCATAATCCAATTGTCAGGGAATAATCCATGTGACTGAGCAGCAAAATCCTTTCATGGTTGGCAGGAACACTTCATGGAGAGAATCCTGACACAAGGAGAGCAGTGAAGGTGCTGTTACAGAAACGTTATAAGATCCTCTGTGGCATTTGCCACAGAGGATCTTATAACGGGGTTCCTGTAAATACAGTGAAGATGACTGTTTTTTCATGTGCTTACAAAGTTCTTGTGAAATGCAATTTTTATGAGTAGTACAGATGCAACAGTGTGTCCAATTTCAGATTGGATTTAAAAGGATTAGTTCTCTCATTGTGCCCCATGAGATGTGTCTACCTGCATATACAGTACTGTAATATGAGTGCTTTTCTTGGTTCACACATCTGTTTATACAGATTGAAGTAAACATCATAGATGTGTACCCCGGTGGTGATTTGTTGTTGATTGATAAAGTGCTATGGTAAGGGTTACTGTGAGGTTTAAATTTAAATCTGAGTGGGTTTAACAGAGAATGTCAGACATCAGTGCCTCTCTTTGGTACAGAAAATACTCTCCTGTTTTTCTTGGAAAGAGGGGGAGAGAAGAAATCAGGGAAACTCAGTGAGCGATGAGCTTTTCCACCACGATGTCCAACTGTGACAACAACAATCTTTTAGAGCTTGAGGTTTAACAAAAATATTTGCAGGTACTTCACATGTGACTGATTTTCTATTTTGATGGATGGAATGTCCTATTTTTGGTGTTTTCCATTAGTGAATGCCAAACTTAATTATTAAATGTATTTGATTCTGCTGCTGTTTTGTTCTTATCTCTTTCAAACAGGGTCTCTGAAGGCTTAGCAGTCTATAACCACATGGCTAACTTGGGCATGACTATGCCTCAGAAACAGGAAACTCCTCTCGTCCCGTGGGAACAGTCTGTGGATGATGTATTTCCTGTTTATTTCTTGGGCCACCCCTACAACTGTGAGTACCACGTAGAACCTGGACTATGTCCAAAGACTATACAACTTTTTCCTCAACATTTACGGTTTCAGTCCACTCCTATTTGTCCAAGGGTTTGGAATTAATGTAGTGCCTGTTTCCTGTCTCACAAGCAAAAGCAGACATGAATCTAAGAGATGCCAAATTCTGATTGCCACATATGATATGGTTGCAAATGGCTGCAGCTTCTCAGTGGAATAGCATTTATTTGACAACTAGTTTAATAGTTTAGGTTAGCAGCTTTTTACTTTTTTTATTAACAATATTGTATATTATTATTATTTGTAATTTATATAGCATATACATACAGAAAAAAACAAAAGTATACACTACACACACACACTGTTAATCCACTGAACAACATAGATGGGGGAGAGGTTTAGCTGCTGTTAGGTTCATCTCCATCCATAGAACTCATCAAACTATCAAAGACCTACACATACTATACAACAACATAGGCACATACACATACTGTATACGTATGTGCATGCTTCAATTGCAGACCACAAAAATCTGATATGATATAAATCCCTCTAGGATGGTTATTAAGAGGTTCACATTTGAAAATAGACTGAGTGTTGCTCTTCAAATTCTCCACAAAAAAAAAAAATGTGT